ACCCCGAACCTGCCTCCCCAAGAGCTTCTGGAGGAGCCCAAGACGGCCCAAGAGGGCCCCAAGAGAGCGAAAAATGGCCCGCGCGCGCCCGAGATGGCCCAAGAAGGCTTTTAGGTGACCTTAGGAGCCCAGGAGGTCCCGAGATGGATCCATTTGCCTGCGGATGCCCGGAAACTCCATGGCCCGCAGTATGAAATTAAAGACACGCACTGGAACAGTCCGCAACACGCTGTCATGCCCTCCCCCAACATCCGCCGCCAGTCCAAAGTGCAATTTCTTGGTTCAACTCACCCTCCAGCGCTGCTGTTTCGAGGCGAGTCCAAGTTGGCGCAACTTGCGGCCTCCGCGCATTCAGTCACAGCATGGCTCCTGCGAGCAACAGTCGATCGCAGCCGCAGTCCACGCTCGCCAAAGCACAGTTCGAACAAGCGACTCTCACAGCACGCCTCTGGGGCGCCCATGCGAACCTCATCGAACCCGGCGGAAGCAACTATGCTATCGCAACTCTTACATGCAATCTCACCCGCCAGAACGTTGCAGCTTTCCCTTTAACGGCAGAAGACATTCAAGAACGCTTGGGCCATCCGTACCCTCCGCACTGCGCGGTAGAAGGCGCATTTACTACTGCCGCTTTCCTGATTCGCACACCATCTGCAGGAGGTCATTGGATAGCATTGCTGCCGATCGCGCGCGCCCACGGATTCGAGACTGCGTCTGCAACAGCGTTGCTGCGTGATTCCTTGCACGCTTCCCCCCACTACGCACAACTTCAGGATGTGGAACAGATTTTGGCGATCTGCGCCTTCGAAGCCACGCGGGCCGCCTCTCGACAGCGGCAGTGATTCTTGATCGGCGCTCCTACGCATTATGCCCAGCCTGGCAGTTAAGCATCACATCGCGCACTGTAGAAGATATGATGAAGCCTGCAGCATTCTTCCAGACAGTCCTGCCGAAGCGTTAGTGCGCCACTTCTGTGTTTTCGACACCGAACCACCCTGCTGCGACGCTGACGCGCGCACGCGGGCACAAGATTTCAGAGCTTCCGCGCTTGGGCAGCAGAACTGAAAAGTCGTCTCATACACCTGTTCGCGCGCACGCTTTTCAACGTCTCAGGGCCGACGGGCCCCTGTTTCCTGGTCGGCAGGCGACGCGCGCCAAAGTATACAGGAAAGCGCGCGTCGCGGCAGCACTATGCCAGTCGCCCGCGGCTTGCACCGAGGAGCACTTTTGTAATCTATCAAACTGAAGCCCTTGCCTTGCGTGATTCGGCGAAGTTGGCCACTGCAACGCGACCATGGCGAAACGCATGGCGCGTCGTTTCCCCCGACTTCAGAGTTGTTCGCTGCAGCTGCCCCAGGGCGACTCGCCGAGAGCGCCGACGAGAGGAAAGAGGAAAGAAGAGGGAGAAGAAAATGGCGATCAGCTTTGGGCGCCCACGCACCGACCATTCTGGGGGCAGCTTTGGCACAATGGCGCAGCATTTCGGAAGCACGTTCGACAATCTGGAGCCGGTTTGGACCATATTTGGTGAATTTGTGGGCCCACCTTGAAGGCCCCTTGGAACTATCTTCGGGGCTCTCTGAACCATGCTGGGCGATTCGGGCGAAACGTTTGGAGCCTCTTGGGGGCCGCGTCCAGGCAGCCTGGGCATACTTGGTGGCTCTAGAGCCGTTTTGAATTATCTTTGGTCGTTGTCATCGCCATTATCGCCCTCGCTGTGTCGGAGCACAAAGTGGCTCGCGGGGCGAGCACGCCAGTGGAATCATTAACCTTGCTCCCGACATGTTCAGGCTGGCGGCCGGGCGCACATGACGATCTGGACGGCGCCCCCTGGACCCACCTGGAGGAGGAGGAGGAGGAGGAGGAGGAGGAGGGAGGCCTTCATTGTTAATTCCGCTTCCCGACGCCCCATGACGGCCCAGGAGGCCTGAAAGACCGCCGCAAGACGGCCCCAGAAACCCCCTGGAGAGAGAGCCCCAAGACGGCCCAGGGGGGCGCCGAGACGGCCCAAGAGACGCCCGGGACGGCCCAGGAGAGCCTCAAGATGGGCCCACGAGAGGAACCACGAACTGAAAAATCGAGTTCTCCGCCCCAGCTTGCCTCATCCCCCTTCTTCCATTCATGCTCCCTCCGCCCACCCCTGCTTGAGTCGTCGCTCATCCATCCTTCCGCCCGCGCCCCCGCTTCTCGCTTCCCCCCCCTCATCCCTCTTGCCCCCCCCCCCCCCCCCCCCCTTCCTTTGAGGCAGAGACCTGATGGCACTTTCGACCGCCAGCCCAGGTTCCCCGGGATCTCTCCATCGGCCCCCCCATCCCTGGGTTCTTTGGATCCCTGGGGTTTCTCGGGTTCGTCAGGATCCTGGGATTGTTTTGCGCTGCGCTGCATTGTGCTGCATCGCGTTGCTTTGCAGCGCCTTTACCTCGTCCCCCCCGCCTCCCCAGTCCCCCACATCGTCTTCCTCCTGTTTCCTCCCTCTTTTTTCCCTCGCCCCCCCCCACCCCTCCTCGCCCCCCCCCCCCCCCCCCCCCCCCCCCCCCCCCCCCCCCCCCCCCCCCCATGACCCCTGGTGGGAGGAGAGGATGAACGGGAAGGGGGACGGGGAAGAGGCTGGGAAACCCTCTCTGAGAAGGTCGCCCCGACCAGAAGAAAGAGAAAGAGGGCAAGGAGGACGAGGATAGGAAGGAGGGAACGGGGACGACGGGGAGGAGGAGGAGGAGGCGCACGGAGGGGATGGAAGGGATGGATGGAGGAGCGCGAGAGGCGACGGCTGCACGAGGAGGAGGGAGGACAGCGAGGAGGAGAGGAAGGATCAGGACGATGATATGGATCAGTGCAAGGAGGAGGATGAGAGGAGGAGTAGACGCCAATCCCAGTATGCAAATGACAGATATCGTCAATGTCCAGGAAGTAAATGCCCCGCTCCCCTCCTGGAGCAGAGGAGCCACGAAACCAGCGCAAGCGGGCGCCAACCTCAACGCACAACACGGCATGAATTCCATGTCTCGAGGCAGCAGTTGGGCCTGCGCTAGAACCTAAGCGCGCGCGACGCGCGCGCGTGGTTCTTGTTTCTGGTACCTGCCAGAGCCCTGACCAGGCGGTAACCCGCACGACTCGAAGCTCGCTCCCAAGACCCCCGCTTTGTCGGTGAAAAAGCAGGCGACCGAGAAATCCTGCGCCGAGAGCTTCCAGGTTGCAAATAATGCCTATAGGGGCCCGCTGAACAAACCACCCACCACGCACCCCCTCGCCAGTCGATGTGTCGACGTATCCCCCAGCTCGAGAGCGCGTTCGACGCTTCGTGGATTGGGTGTGCGCGCGAGTGTGTCCGCATGCTTGCTTTCGTGTACGTGGGTGGTTGTGTGTGCGTGTGTATGTATGTGTGTGGGTGTGTGCGTGTGTGTGCGTGCGCGTGCGCGTGCGTGTACGCGCGCATGTGCGCGTGTATGAGACGGTTCGCGCGTGTGCCGGCACTGCGTAGCCCAAGCCTGGAGGTGGCGCATCAGTTGGCAACCCGCCTGCCGCCCCTGCCGTTGCAACTCGCCCCGCCCGTTACGGAGGTAGCTGGGGATGAACTCTTCTGCAGACACTGACCTGCGCCGTCTGTTGCGCGCCATGAGCGCACGGGGGGGAGACGACGCGGGCGGCCCGAACTGCAGGCAGCCGATTGGACCGGGCCAATGCCTGCAGAAGAGGTCTTACAACATCGACGCTGCATAATGGGTAACACAAGCGTTGGTCGCTAGACAGATGATCGGGGATATGCAGGGCCGGGGCTGGCGAGGGCAAGGGGGAATCCCAGGGGCCGACGATTGCGACGGGAGCGTCAGTGTTATTTTCCTGGAAGAGAAAAAGAGAAGTTGCCCCAGCGCGCACGCGTCCCGCTCGTCGCAGGCCCACCCCACGACGCACCCGAGCAGATGATGGAGGCGCTGCGACACGACAGCGGAATGCTTCCTCGCTCTGCACCTTGCGTACCCCTCAGCTCATCACCTCCACCCCCTTACGTTATCATCGCGCCCCGTGGCTTCTCGAGTGTTATCATCGCGCTATCCGTCCACTCGTTTTCGGCTTCCGTCGTCAATTCACTTGTTTAACCATGCCCCTCAACCCGCCCCTCCTTCATCCCTCCACGTTATCATCCTAGTCCAGACCCCCCCCCGCCGCCCCCCTACACTCAACCATCATTATCATCATCATCATCATCATCATCATCCACCTTATGGCCATTCCGTGTATCACATGCTTCCGCCGTCGCGTCTTAAACCCTCTGCCGCGCAACAATCGGCCAGCACATGGAGCGAAAGCCGCCCATGCAAGACGGCAGCCACGGCAAAGTTCTGCGCAGCGTTGCGCATGCACCAGTTCGCCTCAGCAGGCAGCCGCCACCGAGCTGCGCGCAGATCACCTGCTGCGGAAGACAAGCTAACCATAATCACCCTCGCCCCCAGGGTGCAAAATCAAAAATGACCGGCTCTCAAAGGTTGTCAACGCTGCCATTGAATTTGTCTGGGGGGGGTCGGGGTCGGTCGGGTGGTCTCCAGAACAGCGCCCCGAAATCTCAACGGAACTCACCGGTACTCACCGGCAAAATCACCGGCACGATGCCCATGGGCCAGATGTATTCCGACGTGTGTGTTTTACAATGTTTTAACCGATCCACACAAAAACCCAACGCAGAACCCAACGCAAATCTCAACGCAAATCTCAACGGTGCGTTTTCTGAGCCCAAGCGTGCCGAAACCTGTTCGGACGCGTCCGTCTGTGCGTTTTTCAAACTCAACGGTGCTCAACGGCACCTCCAGCCCCCGTCGGTGGCACAGCACGCTTAGAGCCAATTCACGTCCCATGTCAGCCTCAGGATCGCACCTGCGCCTGGCACATGAAAACAACCCATCCGCATGTGCACCCAGCCCCGTCGCAGGAGGTCATGAAGTCGTACAAGGCGCAGCTGGTGATGTTGCCTCGGCGACCTAGTCCATCTGCTGCGACTCGATGCGCGCCGACTGCTGGCGCAGCAGCAAGCGCATCTCCGAAACGAGCTTCTTAGTCAGCGGCTCCACGGTGGCGGAGAAGGACTGGATGTCGTCCTCGAACGCGTTGCCGGCGCTCTTCTCGGACTGCTTCTTCAGCACCTCGATGTCCTCGGAGAAGAGGCGGCTGTAGATGGGCCTGGCACCTGCGGACTTGACCACGGCGTTCAAAGCCGACTCGATGCCGCCGAGGAACGCCGAAGAGTTGGCCCATGCCCAAGCCTCCGCGGGGTGCACCTCCTTCTCGGGATCGCCTTGATCCCCCTCAAGAGCGCCATCGCCGCCGTGGTCTAACACCCGTAGCTCGCCTTCGCGTTCTTGGCCCTCTGCACGGGGGTCACCACTTTGACCTTCTGCTGCTTCCCACCGCGCGGCGCCGCCGCTGCCCCGCCGCCGCTGCGCTGGAAAGCTGCAGCGCGCGCCGCGCCAGCACCAGCTGGGGTGCCTGGAGCGCTGCCTGCGCCAGCTGGAGCACCAGCTGGGGCGCCTGGAGCAGCAGCTGGAGTGCCAGGGACGCGCGCCGCCGCAACGCCCGCGGCACGGGCCTCGCGCGAGCCCCCCTCGCTGCGCGGCTCCGCGGGCGCCACCTGGGACTCGACGCGGGGGCGCTTGTTCCCGAGGTCCACGCGCTGGCCCTGCTCGGTCGCCTCGATCTGGCGCTTGCCGTTGGCGCCCTCGCTGCGAGGCTCCACGGCCTCCTCGGCGCGGGGCAGCTTGGTCGAACGCTTAACGTGCTGGCTCTCCTCGATCGGGCGCTTGAGGCTGGGATCCTCGCGAGAGACACCGCGCGCGCCCAGCCACGCCACCCCCTCGGGCAATCGGGGTCGGCGCGAAAGGGGCGCGTTTTCGAAACATGTCAGCGCCGTCAGTCACCGTCGCAGTCGCTGCCGCAGCCGCCGCCGCCACCACCGCCGTCGCCGCCGTCTTTGTCGTTGTCGTCGTCGTCGTCGTCGTCGTCGTCGTCGTCGTCGTCGTCGCAATCGTAGTCGTCGTCGGCGCGCTCACCGTCGTCGTCGTCGTCGTCGGAAACCGTGACCGTCATCGGTCGTCGCAACCGCCGTCGTTGCATCGTCGCTCGATTACCTTGAACGGCCCCCTGTGTCCTCACGCGGGTCGCTGACGCACGTGCCGCCCGCCAAGCCCTGCAAGCGCGCCACGCCCGCGATGCTCTGCTCGTCGGCCTGGCCAATGTACGTCTTCGTGACGCCCCAGCTCTCCTCGAAGGCGTCGCCCATCCCCTCTGCCACGTAGAGGCATTTCAAACATTCCGTCCAGCTCGAGCATTTCATCCATGGGTAGCCCATGATGTGACAGCAGCGAGCACTATTATACAAGGGGCATACATGTTGCATTGTGATGTGTTGCGTGCTGCTGTGTTGAATGCTGCGGTGCATGCTACTGCGCTGCCTTGTGTTGCCGCAGTTTGTTGCACTGCCTGTTGCTTGGGCGGCTGCTGTGCTGCATGTTGGTGCGCGGCATGCTGCTGTGTGTGTGTGCTGCACGGGTCTGTTGCATTATGCGGCATTGCATTTGGTGCGCTGCCAATTGCTATGTTGCCCCACAACGCCTCCTCCGCCTCATCAACACTGCATTCCTCCTATATCCACCTCCCCCTTCATCATCGTCGTCCTCATCCATCCTCATCTCGCCATCCCTATTCTACTCTCCTATATCTCATCTCACCATCCGTACTCTCGCCCATCCTCCTCATCGTCGCTCCCATCTGCAGGTCATTAGAGCGCTCTCCGTAGGTCGTACTTGCACGCGTTAGACTTCCCCCCCTCACCGCCGCCCCCCCCCGTGGCGATGCGCCCGAGGGCGTAGTCAGCACGCCCCCGCAGGAGGCCCACCCCGATCAGAGACCCCTGGCCACGCGCACCGGCCGCCGACGGGCTCATCGGGAGCGGGAGCGGACCCACAAGACACACGCCAATCGGCAGGATACGGAAACTCATCGCAGATCAGCGCTGCCGTTGAGCACCGTTGAGTTTCAGCACTTGCGATCAAACGTCGCTGCGGTCGGAGGTCCGCGCGATCGGATGTCGCTGCGATCGGGGACGCGATCGGCGTCGGACGGAGGTCAGCGCCAGCCCCATGAATAGCGGGCCTCCCTGATCTCCTTCTTTGTGACGGTCTTGATCGCGGTCTTCGTCTCGACGTACCTGTGGGGGGTGACACTACTCTTGCTCTCTCCTCACACTGGTTCCCCACCCTGGCTCATCCCACCGCCTCCTCACATCCCCCCCCCCCTCGTTGCCACTACCCGCCATCATCCGTCATAGTTCCATGCACCCGCCCCCGCCCCCCCACCCCCCCCCCCCCCCCCACCCACCCCACCCCCACCCCCCACCCCCCACCACCCCACCACCCCGCATCCACCATCCCACCCAACAACTTTATCATCCACTCATCCTTCTCCACCCGTTATCGTTTGGAATCAGTCGGCACTCGTTCATACGTTTGGACATGAACTCGGCCCTGAAGGCCCCCTTGACCTCGTTGCCCTTCAAGGACTCGTATTTCTTGGCATCCTCGGGGTGCTTCGGGATCACCCTGTCGAATCGGGCAGCCGCTGGATTGCCAGCAGCTCCACGCGCAGGGAATTTGAACTCATGCTGCTTCAGCTTAAGCCAGAACGCGTCCTCGGGATCCTCGGGGTTCAGCGGGTCGTCGCCGGTCGGCCGGATCACCTCGTCGCCGCCGAGCTCGGATGCATATCCTGCTGCGGCGCCCCTCAACCCTGCTCGCTCCATTGCGCGCGCGCCCCTCATCATGTCCCCCGTATCCCCCATGCCCCTGTCGCAACACTCCCCATCTGCCGCCCTTCCGCCCCCCCCCCCCCCCCATGTAGCCCCCATCCTCAGTCACCCGCCCGCCCCCATCCCAAACCGCGCCCATCGTTCGCGCGCCCCCGCCCCCAGTGCATGTTTTGAGCATCGACCGCCCCCCGCAATGCTCCAGCGGACGTGCGCGCACGGCCATCCGTTGCACAGGCAACGGCACCACTTGCGAACCAGTGGATCGACGCAGGCGCGGCCACATTCAACATTTAAAGCGTGCGTCGCAGACGGGCGGCGGCACAGGGGGCGGAGCGTCGCCCTCTACAATCATGGGCTCGCGAGGCGAGCCCATGCTATGATCAGGAAAGCGGCATGACGCGCGCTGCGAGGACGAGGGTCGGAGGAAGTTAACGACGTTGAGTAGGATCGGAGAAAGTGAGTGGCAAGTATGAGGAGTCAGAGGGGGTTGATTCTGCGGGACGCGGATGGGGAGGCCGAGGGCGCTATGGTGAGGACTAGGGTTGGAGGTTCGCAGTAGATGGGCGAGGGTGGAGGAGGCGGAGGAGGGGGCCAGCTGCCGCCGTGCACTGATCGATACTCAATCGTCGAACTGGCTCCACATGAACACTGTTGGCGGTGCCCAATCCACGGCGTCGCCCTTGAGCTCCGGGAAGGAATCCTCGGACGCCGCGAAAAGCTGAGCGGCGCCGGTCGAGCTGTCCGCGAGCGGCCTGGCTGATGCATCCAAGCTGTCATGCGCGACGACGACCTCCTCCTCGGAGGCCTTGTGCTTCTTCGGGGCGCCCTCGACATGCTCTGGCGGCGTCTTGGGTCCGTCTTCGTCCTATAGCGCTTCTTGGTCGGGGTGGTCACCTCCCGGGGCGGCTGCGCCGCGGAGCGCCCCAGCTCCGCCGCCGAGGCTGGGACCGCGTCGCCCGCGGCGCCCCCGTGCGCGAGCGTCTCTGCCTGAGCCGCCCACGTCTTGGCATCGATCTCCGCTGCACCTGCCGCGACCGCGTCTTCCCCCGTCGCGGCTGGGGGCGCTGCGGTCGCTGCGGCCGCGGCCTCCTGCGCGGGCTGCGCCGCCGCCGCTGGCGCCGCCAGCGCTGCGGTGGCCTCCGCCGCGGCCGCGGCCTCGCCCGCCTCGGCGCTGGCCGCGGGCGGCGCCGCGGCCTCGCCCGCCCCAGCGCTGGCCGCGGGCGTCGCCGTGGCGGCCGCGGGCCGCCTCAGCGGCGCCGACTTCTCGGGCGCCTTCTTCGCGGCGCACTGGGCCTTGAGCTTCGCGGCGCCCCCCTTGGACAAGCCGTGGGCCATCTTCCTCATGGTCTCCTCCATGCCCTTGGAGGCGCGACCCCGTTCCTCTGCGGACAAGCCCTGGACAACGATCTGGAGCTTCTGTCCGAAGCCATTGCCCAGGTCTGCCTTGATCCACATCATGTCGGTCTCGCGCTGGTTGGCCCCCTGCAGCGCCCACTCATGGCCCTGCAGCCTGTACCTGGCGAGCCCCCCCTTCCATTTGCCATCTTCACCGCCGCCGCCGCCGCCGCCGCCGCTGGAGGCCCTGTCTGCCGCGAGAGCCTTCGCCGTGAGAGCCGGCACGGGCCGCTTGACCCCGTCGGACCACTCCGCCGCGACGAGGTCGGATGGGTCGGGGTTCGCTGGCGGCATCAGGGGGAGGCTGCGCTGTGGCTCGCCGAGCCCCCCGTTCGAGAGCCTCGTCCTGCGCTCGGCCGCCTGAGGGAACAGCATCCACTAAATTGAAAGCCGCTGCCATTCAGAAGTCATCGTTGATCATCGGGGCTCAGCGCCCGCGATGATCATCGATGACTTTTGATTGGCTGTGACTTTCGTTTTACTGGATTGCTCCCACCTTCAAGTCCTGCAAGTACTTGAGCGCGTACACGGGCTCCACGACGCCGTCCGCCGCCCCCTCGGGCTGCGCCTCCGCGGCCGCGACCGCCTCCTGCTGGTCGCCCGCGTCGTCGCCCGCGTCGTCGCCCGCTGCCGACTGATACTGCTGCTCCTCCTTCTCCTCCTCCTCATCCTCTGCGTCATCTGCGCCCCCGCCCTCAGCCTGGCTCTCAGCTGGCTCCTCGCCCTCATCCTCCTCTGGCATCATCGCCTGGAGCCACTCTGGCATGGCCTGGCCGCTATTCACTTTCACGCGCGCCTGAGATATGTCTCTCACCGCCGCCCGCACTCGCTTCGCCTGGCTGGTGGCCCACTCTGATGCCTCGTTCGCCAAGCGCCACCTCTCCTCGCTGTGGCGGGCGACCTCGGGCGGGGCCTTCATCTTGCCCTGGCACACTCCGCTGGGCACCTGCGCCAACCACAGGTTGGCCGTCAGCACCTCCTCGCCTCTGTCCCCGGAGAGCCCCTCGCGGTGCGGCAGGAGGGGCGACTGCGCGACTTGCGATTTCATGATCCTGTTCAGGTTCTCCTGGCTGACCTCCGTCTGCTGCGACCGCCCTAGCCCCTCCATGGGCTTCTTCGCGGGCGGCGCTGCCTCGGCGTCGGAGGCTGCATCCGCCACGTCGATGGCCGCGCTGCGAAGGGCAGCGCGGCCGAGCACACGCGACGCCGCGAGCCAGCTCGAGCCAAACTGGCCACGGATGAGGATGACGAGGAATAAGATTAAGGAAGATGATGAGGAAGGGGATGCGGAAGAGGATAAGGAGGAGGGAGGAGGAATAGAAGGGATGGAGGACAAGGGGGGGCGACGACGGTGATATGAGGGCCCCGAGGCAGCGTAGATAGGAGGTACAGATAAGGATTTGCGGGAGGACGAGGGCGATGATGCCGATGTGAAGGAGGGAGGCGTGAGGAGACGGGATGAGGATGAACGGTCAGACTGGATGGGAGGGGATATTCATGGACCAGAGGAGGGGGCCACGCTTGCAGTTATCTTCGCGCACCCCTGCTGGCCAGGCCGCCGACCACGACCAGCGACCAACGACGCCGGCGCCGCAGCGGCGGATGCACGATCTCAACGGCGATCAACGCTGGCGTTGATATCCGTTGAGTTTGAT